TCCTGATCCCTGCTCGGCTTCCTGTTCCTGACTATCCGGTACTCCTGTTCCCTGCTCGGCCTCCTGTTCCCGACCATCCGGTGTTCCTGTTCCCTGCACAGCCTCCTGTTCCAGCATTCCTGTTCCCCGCCCGGCTCTCTGCCTCGGACCTTGCCCCTCTTCGTGTGGACTCTGCTACACCCAAGGTACCTTACCCCCGGGACCAGCACAAATCTGCTCCTCCTCCTACTACTGATGCAGCTTCATTAATGTGACCCCAAAATCCCAGATCGCCCCCCAAACTGATGCCAAAGTTTAGTGCCAACTTGTGACCCTGATTTGCTGTGCCAGTTACTTGGTTTGGGGAAAAGTGGCACAAAACTTGGGCTTTGTGGCACAAAATGGGTACTAAACTTTGGCATCAGTTTGGGGGGGGTCCAGAATTTCGGGGTCACACATTAATAAAGCTTTCAGATGCCCCAATAATAGAATAAGTTGTTGGCAAGGGCTTTAGGGTCATCCCAAAGCCTCGCCTTGGCACACACTGAAGCTGCAGACAGTTGCTTTGATCTTCAGAGCTTGGTTTGCTTTCAAGAGACGTCATTAATTTCCCTGCGTGGATGAAGTGCCCGTCCACACAGCCTTATCTTATCTAAATAGGTTGTTACAGCAGACATTGCACTCCAGTCGCTTGGGATGGGGCATTAGGAGAAAGGAGGAGGGAAAAGGGTGCTGACTTAAGCTAAACGCACGGGGAAAGAGCAATTTGCAAAATGCAGAGCGACAGACGGGGAACATTGCAGGCTAAGGAAGCTGACTAGGAACACTTAAATCACCAAGCTGACAACCATTCCTCTCAAGGCCAGGGCTATAGGAAAGGTCTCAGCTTGTACCTACATTGGTTGGCATCCATCTGTCTCGGGAGAAGATGGAAGGGTGCACCTTCAGGGGTGAAGTCAAGCTGTTGGAGAATTACAGCTCCTGCTGTGGCCGTAGAGACCAATACAGGAGAGACATGTTTTGCGGCAGCTGGGGCAGATGAAGGCATCCTGTTGGGCTGCTGCAGATGCACCACGGCATTTATTCTCTCTGTGATCCTCCCAGAGGTAGAGCTGGGAGATATATCAATATATAAGGCTCTCTTCCAACTCTGTGATTCTGTGATAAAGGGCACATCGTGATTCTTGTAATTTGTCTCATCTCCAGACACACAGGAAAATGTATCATATTTTTGTTCCACTTTTAAAAAAAATGCTTTTAATAGTCAAAGACTCTTGCAGCAGGACCCAGATTTAAAAGCTCCAGCATGTCTTTGCAGCAGAGAGCAGTGGTGTTGGTTTTGGAGATGGACGCCCCCTTTAGACTCATTTTCCATAGCAAGAAAGAGATGCTAATTCGAGCGAAGTTTTCCGCAATTAAGAGGAAAATGAGAACACCCCGCTGCTTGCGTGATTTAGAATGCAGTTATTACTACAACAGCTGATAGGCCTGTCTCCCTGACATGAGAAACTGCAAAGGCTGTGGGTTTCACTGTGTTATTTCTAGTGAATGGCCCTGTTATTTTGCCCGATTAGCCTAGTGAACTGTGCACCATAGTTTGATCTAACCCCAAGTTTTACATTGTTGTTGTCGTCCTCGATTCTCCACTCTGCCCCCCCCCCAGCCTAATTATGCAATAGACTAGGAGAACTGAAGTGAGAAAGGGCTTTTCTTTTACAAGCGGTCCCTACTACTAGAGTGGATGCATAGTAAAAGCTACCCCCTCTATCCACTGAAAGCAAATGGAGTGTAGGGTCCTGGTGATTTCTAAAACTCAGGTGCTTTTCACACACAGAGACACAATCTCCACTGCCATGTGTCTTTTAAAACTATACAACATAAATAATTTTTTTGACCAGTGAATAAATAATAATAATAATAATAATAATAATAATAATAATAATAATTTATTATTTCTACCCCGCCCATCTGGCTGGGTTTCCCCAGCCACTCACTTGCAGGCATGAAAGGCTTTAATGCCAAACCAGATTCTCTCTCTCTCTCTCTCTCTTTCTCTTTCTCTTTCTCTTTCTCTCTCTCTCTCTCACCACACCAAACATCCATTCAGCCTACCTGATGGAAATCAAAAGCTCGTTCCCAGTTTTGTGACATTTTAGATAGTTACAGCAAAGAGACTCTGGATTTGTGCAAAATAAAAAAGAGGCAGTTCAACCCTTAGTTGTAGAATTGTGGAACTGTAGAGTTGAAAGGGACCCCTGAGGGTCATCTAGTCCAACCTCCTGCGGCAGGATTCAGAATCTTTTGTCCAACGTGGGGCTCAAACCCACAACCCTGAGATTAAGAGTCTCATGTTGCAACAACTGAGCTATTTATGAATGTTAATAATGTCACCTACCTTTTCCTTTACTTGTTCCCAGTACGTTTCTAAGCACAGTTCAAAGTGTTGGTGCTGACCTTTAAAGCCCTAAATAACTTTGGCTCTGTGTACCTGAAGGAGAGTCTCCACCCCCATCGTTCAGCCCGGACCCTGAGGTCCAGCTCCGAGGGTCTTCTGGTGGTTCCCCCACTGCAGGAAGTAAAGTTACAGGGAACCACGCAGAGGGCCTTCTCGGCAGTGACACCCGCCCTATGGAATGCCCTCCTGTCAAATGTCAGGGATATAAAGAATTACATAACACTTAGAAATCATATGAAGGCAGCCCTGTTCAGGGAAGTTTTTAATGTCTGACATTTTATTACTTTTTTATATTTTGCTGGAAGCCACGCAGCGTGGCTGGGGGGTGTTGCGGTGCCGTCCCCTTTGAGCAGCAGGGCGCTTGGGGCTGCACAGTTGAGGTGGCAGGCAGCACGGCGATTGCAGCTGTGTGGCGGAGGTTAGTGGCCAAAGTTTTTATTTCCCCCCTGCAGCTAAAAAAAGCCAAACAACTCTGAGTGGGTGCTCCCCCTAATAAAAGGTCAACAAGTACCGGCACCTCTTTTTCTAGAAAAGAAGAAGCCCTGTTGGACACAGTATTCCAGTTGTGGTCTGAAATTCATTTTGTTAGCTTGGACCCAGGTCTCCAATCTGTTCGGGTCATCTGGGTTCCTGATCCTGTCTTCCGTGACACTGACTACCCCTCCCAGTTTGGTGTCAAATCACCTCCTTTGCTGACCGAAACGAAACTCCCCGTCTTGGTTTTTGGGGAAAAGTCAGCCAAGCTACGGCAGCAGCAGCCGGTGCTTGCTGGAGAGGGAGGGAGACCGCGCCGTGCTTCCTGGGAAACGTAGTCCTTCCCGGAGCGCCGCGCGTGCCCAAGGATCCCGGCCTCGGACTCCATCTCCCGGCGGCGCGCGGGGCGGCAGGCAGGCGGGAGCGCGCAGAGGGGGGCGGGCGGGTTGGTAGGAGCGGCTTGCTCCGCGCGAGCCTCCCTTTACGCACAGCCGGAGACTCGCATTGTATCCTATCGGGCCAAAAGGGGATGATGTCACCTGCGGGCTGGTAAGGCGAAAGGAGGCAGGCGCTGCTGCCGTTGCTGGTGGCGGCGGCAGGAGGAGGAGGAGGAAGCGAGATCGAGCCTGGTTCCCGGGCTCCTTTTGTAAGCAGCCGCGGACAGAAGGAGCAGAAGCAGCCGGAGTGGGCTTCGCCTCCTCCGGAATGGAGCGAGCGCCAGGTAAGCCTCTCCTGCGCCTCTCGCCATTCATCGGACGCGCCGCTCGCTTGGAGAGCCGGGCCGGGCTCTGCGTTTTTACGCACGGGGCCGGAGGAAGCGGCGCTACCTTCCGGGGAGGGGGAAGCGCTGGTGGGGAAGGTGAGCTCCGGAGCAGGGGAGAAGGACCCCGAAGGAAACGGACTATTGGGGGTGGCGACGGCGGCGGCATGAGGATGCGGTGTCCGCTCGGGCGAACAGGGGCGGGTGGGGTGGGAAAGGGAAGCGCCCAAGTCTGCCAAGGGGGCGGCACGGCTGGGAACAAAACCAGCCAAACTTTAAACTCCCAGCCTTTCCTTGGGAGGGGGGGATCTCTCCGGGCGCTGGAGGCTTTGCATCTCTGGGAACAGCTGGGGGGCGGCGGCTGGGGAGGGGGCGCCCTGGGTTTGTGCGGCTTCCCCGCTGCAGTTTGCGCCGGGAGGAGCGAGCCTGTGTGTGTGTACGTGTTTTTGTGCCTGTGTGTGGTTTTTTGGGCTAACAAAAGGGGCAGATGCGGAGAGGGCGGGTGGAGAGAGGCTTCGCTGCTCCCTTTCTTTTCGGCTGCGGCTTTCTTTTCCTTTCAATGGGACCGGCCGGGGTGGGGTGGGGTGTCGGTTGGAGAGAGGGAGAGGTCGAGTAGAAAACCTCCTCCACGAGTTCTCTCACTCTCTGTCTCTTTTTTGGGAGGGGTGTGTTAAAATGTGCTCTCACCGCACCCCTACCCCACCCCTCGGGTTCAAAGGTGCCTGGAGCGGGTTGGGGGGGGGGAGAGTTTTGATTCCTGCGGATTTCTTGGGGTGGCTTTTCTCCATCCAGGGGAAAAGGAGGCGTGGATGTCTCCACTGGTTTTAGCAATACCGCAGTATGGGAGCGTGTGTCTGCACGCGTGTTGCCACCTCGGGATCACAACACCTTTCCCCCGTTTGTTCTCCTTCCCAGTTACCTTTCCTCAAGAGTTGAGCTACACACTTGCAGAAGGGGTTGCAAAAACAGAAAAAGAAAATAAAAGCAAGAACGCCTCCTGGTTGCGGACAGCTGCTCCCTCCCCCCTCTGATGCTTCTTACAGCCCCTTTTAAGAACATGATAGCACCCCCCCCCCCCACCGCCGGATCAGGCCAGTGGCCCATCTCGCCCAGCATCCTGCCCTCATATTGACCAGCTGGATGCGCCCATGGGATGCCTGCCAGCTAATATTAATGACTACACTAATATTGAAATGCTAATACCCGGTGTCTAAGGATTTGGAATCCTTAACGATGAAGGAATTGGATGTCTAGGAGACAAAAGTTGCAAGGCGGAGCCAGTGCTGCCTTTTCAGAAATATGAGTTTGGAATGCCATTCAGAAAAAAAATTGAGACTTCCATGTTTACGCATGCACAGATGCACTCTTCCTTTTAAAAAACACTGTTGCTTCACATTTTCAGGGGAGGACATGTCTCGATCTGTGCCCTCCCTGTGTTTCGATAAAGAGCAGCCAGGGTTCCAGATAATCAGCTATTTAAACCTATTTTCTCCAGGGGGAAAGATGGGCTAATCAGGTTTCCCCCCCCTCCCCCTGTGGAAGATGCAGAAACTGCTGTTGGCTGTTCCTGCCACCTGGTCTCTCTATCTTCCTTCCCTTCTCCCCCCCCCCCCCCGGCTGCCACCCAAAGGATTTAGGGAGATGAGGCTTGCTTCCACTCTTTCCCTTATTATAACTAGGTGCACCTTTAACATACCCACTGAGGGATCTGCGTGGTCTTTCCCTGCTCCCCAGATTCAGGGGAAATGGATCAGTTGCACAATTGCTTGGGCGGCAGGCCGTCAGAAAACCAGTGGCCAACTAGGTGAGGCAGGAATTGCCTGTGTGCATATAGATGTATCTGTTGAATTTCAGTTCTGTTTTCTCCTATGTGCGCTGCATGCTGTGTCCCCCCCTCCAGAGGTAACAAAATCTCATCTGAGTTGAGGATTTTTGAAGGAGAAAGTGTCTGCAACAGGAGAGAGAGAAAGAGAGGGGAGGGGGCATTGGAAATCTGGTTGCTATGGTTACTCTTGCAGTTGGAATCATTGCGATTTTTCACGCACAGAGCCCCCTCCCCAGTAGATCTGGAGTCTTCTCCACCCCTTTGCCTGGTAACTGGGAGGGTGTGGTCTCCCCAACAAAAAAATAATCTCTCAAAAGACAGAATTCAGATGAGTGTCTGCGGTCTTGAGTCTTGTGACGGCTGTGTTTCATTTTATGGTCAAAAGAAAAATGAGTGTCTGCCTGTAGCCATTTCATAGCTTTATTTTATTTCATGGCGACAGTGCAACTGAGAAGCCCATTTTGCTCTCTCTCCTTTCTCTGTCCCTATATTAAAGCAGGGAATATGGGTGGTTTGGGCGTGTGTTGTACGACACGCTGTGAACAAGGAAAGCTGCTTTATTAGCAACGGGTGTGGGTGGGTTCCCCTGTTACGTTTGTGGAACAGCCTTGAGTACCTACTCATTTGCTAGAGCTGTCTCCGTGCAGATGCGTAGGCAGGCATCGCACACTCTTAATCCCATGGGGTGTTTCCCTCTACTCCTCCTCCTCTTCCTCCTCGCTGACTCCACTCCACGGTGACACTGTTGCTGCTCATCGGCACTTGTTGCAAGAGACAGCGGGGAGAAAGACGGTTCAGCTTTGTTCTTCTTGCACAAGCTCTGCGTTGTGGGGAGCCTTGCAAAGCCTGGGTGGAGGCCGAGACTGTCGGAAGAAACTCTTGCAGAAAGGGCGTTGTGAAATAGCTTTGTTGGTTACATTTTCTTACATGAGTTAATAGCTCGCCTTGCTTCCCATCATGGAAGCCAGGGCAGTGTGTTTTGTGAAGTGTTAGAAACTCAGGTATATAAGCTAGGCGCCAAATGGCTCCTTAAACCAAGGCTGCAGTCGCCAAAGCAGAATGTCTAGTTGCCATTTTGGGGCAAGACGGCTCCAAAGTCTTCTTTTTCAAATGATGAACTGACTGTGATTGCTTCTCAGTTAAACATCTGGCTAGTTCAGATGGCTACCTTGAGCTAGTTTAAGAGCTTTGAGAACTTAAAGAAGAAAAGTCGCTTGATCCAGGGACAGTCCACACAAATATTGACCTATTCCGACCTCTCTTTTTTAATGTTGACACGGACCATTCATAATGTAAGAATATTCTTCACAACTGGGAGCAGGGCAGTGGGGTGGGGGAAGTCAAGACAAGCTACAGGGACTAACTAGAATATTGTTCACTGCTCCTGCTCAGGCTGCACAGGAAAACAGGCATTTTGGTTCCTGAAATTTATTTTGATGGTGCAGATAAAACATAACTGATAGAGATCTACAGGATGGGGTGTTAGTGTGTGAAAACAGTCCAGACCCAATGATCCCCAGGTGGTGGAGATGTCAGGCACCATCCTGGCACCCAGGAATCTTCACTTGGTTGCAAGTGGCTGATAGCCGGGTGCAAAATGCGCCTGGCGCCTGGCTAATTTCAAACACTGGTTATGTGTAGCTCTTGGGTGCTCTCCCACCCAGGCACTGGCCAGATGTGGCCCTCTGCTTAGCTTAGGTGGTGGTGGACTCATTTGCCTTCATACCATCCTCTGGGATTGTCCTGGGCTTCTGTTCTGCAGCGATGTACTATATGAATTTTGCTCAGAGCTCTTCATTGTATCCGAATGTCACTCCGCACTAAAACTTGCTTTGTAATTTCATTTTCTTTGCAGGATCTATGTAAATATCTACAAATGCAAAGTCTTCTTTTTATACTCAGCGTAAGGTGTGGTCATAGATCAGCAGCAGAGCAAGTGTAGAAGGCAGAGGAGGAAGAAACCGCTGCCTGGGGCCTTGGATGCCGTCTGCCAGTGACAGTAGACAAGGCTGGCCAAGACAGACTGACTTTCATAGCACAGACGCTCTGTGTAAGTCATAGCTTCCCCCAAAGAATCTGGGAGATGTGGTTTGTTGGGGGGGGGGGCAGGGTTCTTAGGAGACCCCTATACTCCCCTTGCAGAGTTACAATTTCCATAGGGGACTCTGGGCGTTGCTGTTCTGCGAGGGGAATAAGGGTTTCCTTAACAACTCTCAGCTCCCTTAACAAACTGCAGTTCTCAGGATTCTCTGGGGGAAACCCATGACCGCCTAAAGTGGTATGATATTGCTTTAAATACGTAGTGCAGATGGGGCCCAAGTCCCAGAAAAGGAAAGGGGAGAACAGTCTCTGATGCTGACTGGTAGACCTTTGTGTCGTAGCTCTGTGCATTTCAGAAGAATGCTTCTTTCAGGATCACGGAAAGCTTGCTAGGCCTAGAAATTTGGGGAGGGATCGTCCTTAAAATCTGACCTACTCAATGGCCAGCTTGAGAGAGTGGCAGAGTCTCCTCCCTCCCCGGGCGTCTGATTCCAATATATATGGCCGACAAGATTTGTATGCATGTGCATACCTGGATGTGAAATGGACATGTGGCTGTGTCATTTGCACAAGATGTTGGCCAACAGTCAATAGCATCCTTATCTCGGAAGCTTCAAGTGAGCAATGTGTGTTTATAATCCTTATCTCTTTCGAGTCCAGTAACCCTGTGAATGACATGATGACGATTCCCTGCCTTTTTATGTAGGGAACCGGAGTCCAGGATTGGTGGCTCAGCCCAGTCTCCCGTTGAGTTCAAAGACAG